GAATATTCACTCTTGCCACTTCTATTCAACATAGATTGGAAGTGCTAGCTGGGGCATCAACATAATAAAATACTAAGAAATAAACTTAACCAAAGAGGCAAAAGACTTAAATATTAAAAACATTGCTGAGAGAAATTAAAACAAATGGAAGGACATGTCATGCTCATGAACTTAAAAACTTAATATGTTTTAAATGTCCATATCACACAAAGTGATCTACAGATTCAATGCAGTCCCTATCAAAATCCCAACGACCAGTCACAGAAGGACAAATACTGCACAATTCTACCTTTATGAACTATCTAAAGGAGTCAAACTCATAGAAACAGAAAGTTGAATGGCGGTTGTCTGTTGTGGGGAGATGGAAATGGGGGACTTACTATTCAACGGGCATTGAGTTTCAGCAATGTAACATGAAAAAGGTCTAGCTATCTACAGCACAACACTGTATATGTAGTTAGCAGTATTGTCCTGTACACTTAAAATACTTTAAGATGGTATGTCTCACATTGTGTTTTTTACAAAAATAGAAAACAGGATGCTCCACAACACTAATCATCAGAGAAATATAAATAAAATAATAATGAGATATCATCTCACACCTGTCAGAATGGCTATCATCAGTAAATCAACAAACAACAAATGTTGGTGAAAATGTAAAGAAGCGGGAACCCTTGTGCACTATTGGTGGGAATGCAGATTGGTGCAGCCACTATGGGAAACAGTATGTAGTTTCCTCAAAAATATTAAAAATGGTGCTGCCTCAGATCCCAGCGATTTCACTTCTGATTATATGGGGTGTCCCAAAAAATGTTTTACACACTTTGAATAATTATAAAGGCAGTGTTTGTTAAAATATATTTCATTTTTAAAATTGAGCTATCAGTTATTAAAGTGTGTATACATTTTTGGGGACACCCTGTATACTCGAAGAAACCCAAAACACTAATTCGAAAGAATAGATGCATCCCTGTGTTCATTGTAGCATTATTTATAATAACCAAGATATGAAGCAGCCCAAGTACCTATCAATAGATGAGTGGATAAAAATGGTTTTGATGTCACTAATATGTGGAATCTAATGAGCATAATGAACTGATGAATAAAATAGATCCAGAGACATAGAAGCATGGAATAGACTGATGAATTTCAGAGGAAAGAGGAGGGGAGGAGGTGGGGAGAGATTGCCAGAGAAGTTATATGGATGTATGCATAACCCATGGACACAGACAATAGAGTGGTGAAGGCCTGGGAGGGGTGGGTACAGGTTGGAGGGGGTCAATGGGGAAAAAAAAAAAACAAGCAAAGGAGACGTCTTAATACTTTCAACAATGAAGATAAAATTTTTACAAAGTTTTGGTACAAATATTCAATGAACTATTACTCAGTCATAAACAAGAATGGAATTTTGCCTTTTGCAATAGCATGGATGGACCTAGAGGGTATTATACTCAGTGAAATAAGTCAGTCAAAGATAAATATGGTATGATTTCAATTATGTGGAATCTAAAGAACAAAATAAATGAACAAAACTGAAACAGACTCAGAGAGAGAACAGACTGATGGTTTCTAGATGGGTGGGGGAAGAGGGACTGGGTGAAAAAGGTGAAGGGATTAAGAAGTATAAATTGGTAGTTACAGAATAATCATGGGATTGTAAAGTACATGGTACTTTACATTCATAATATTGAATGTAAACTGTAATTTAGAATTTAAAAAATTAAGAAAAAATAATAGAAAACAATGTTAGACTCTGAGACAATAAAGAAACCATTGCTCATCAACAAAAAGTGGACCTGAAATAAGGAATGCAGTGCAGAATACACCTCAAGGGAAATAATAGGTCAGGGAAGATGAAATAATCTATATGGGAACACTCTTATATAATAAAGAGCTAATATGCTAACTAGACCGACTGCAGAACAACCTTCCAGACAACCTTCCAGAACAACCAGTGGGTGGGGGAAGGGGCCGCAGGGCCACGAGGCAGCCAGGGTTGTGAGGGCCTACTCTTGCACGATTTTTGTGCATCGGGTCTCTAGTGATATAAATAATATTTTGTTCACTGTGGATCAACCACAGTAGAGCATAAAAGCAAACAGCATTAGGAAAACGTAATTGTACATGCTGAGAACCTCAAAGTAGAAGTTAATTATTTGTCAAAATATGGAATTGTCAAGTAATTCAAATGTAAATTACATGATGTGAGGCTGCTGCAATATATCAATGATAATTTAGTCAATTATCACAATCTAATATAGTATAAAAAGTCAAGTAAAAAAAGGCCATATATTCCATAAGCATGATTTCAAAGACTATACTTTATAAGATAGCTACTGTACAGCATATATGTGAACTGAATAGACATGGACATTATCTACATTCTTTTTTGAGTGTGGATGAAAAAACATTTGGCAAGATTTCAAATTTGTTTTTTTGTTTTTTACAGATTGTACATTTTAGCTAAAGAAAAATTATACTCCTTTTAAGCCCAGTTACTCTTTCATGGGTAATTAGAATTTTTAAAATAAAATGCATTTGCCAAAATATATACTGACAGAAAAAAAAACTATGAAGCAAATATTGAGCAGACATATTTAATCAAATTTGTGTTTTAGGATGAAAATCAATGGTAAGTGATATCTCACCATGAAGTCTATTTTAATAATGAAATGTATCTATCTTCAAAACCAAATATTGTATTTTGACAATATATTAAAAATCTAAATCCCAGCCTGTTTAAAATGACAAAAGTCAACACAGTCTTACTATTAGCGATTCATAGGGAGAATAACTGTGATGACTATTTACACTTGCTATAGTACCTTTTTAAAAGTTCATTTAAAGAATATGCTTAATTTCTTAAGTAATTTAAAAAACTTTAAAACGTTTTTATTTATCATATCCCCCAAACAAATACTTTTTAAAATAGAGGAATTAATTTTTTTCTAAGCCACAATCACTTTGAAATTTTTCTATCAAATGTGAACTAATCAAGTTTTGGATTTCTGATAGTAAACTGGATTAAAAAGTCTTTCCATTTTACATGAATATTATTTTTCTAGGTATATAATATATTAAATGTCATTAATGTTAAAAATAAAAGATTTGAACAAATTACCTCCCCCCAAATAATCTGATCATAAGTAAATGTTTACCAGAAACTGAAATTTTCCCATACCATGGAGTCATCATGAAGTTAGATTTTATGGTATGACATCTACATCCTATCTAATAATAGACAAACATAGTAATTGACCGTACCTTTGCTACACCTCCCATGGGCTAATCAGCGCGATATGCAAATTAACCCAACCAAGATGGTGGCCGGCAGCCATGCAGCTGAAGCGAGCAGAAGGCTTGCTTGCTCTAGAGATGGAGGAAGCCAAGGTTCCCGCCTGCCACGGCTCAGCTCTGAGCTCCGAAAGCAACAAAGTTTCAATCATAGAAGCTAAACAAACCCCAGATACCTGTTTTCAGCAGGCCGTGGCCTCAGAACTGGAGCGAGCAGGAGCCGGCTCTCAGCTCCAGTGACGGCAACAAA